TTGTTTTGCCACCGGACAAGTCCACCAGAGGTGATAGTATGTTCCATAGTTCTTCTTGCATTTCCAACATTTCCGTGAATTACCAGGGAACATCTTTGCTATTCTTGTAGCCCTTTCTAATTTGGCTCCCATCAGTGCTGGAGAAACTGGAAAAATTCGAGTGCCCTCTTCTGGTCAGGAGCTGGCTTTGTCTGAGAGATCCAGAAGGATGACTTTTGGACTATATGTTGCCCCATCAGGCCATCAGATAGGTCCACCCGAGGCTTCAGGGCAAGGATTAACAAGGATGAGTTAACCATCCAAGAATGTGTCCCTGCCCCCACCCCCACATACACCCTTTCAGGAAATGAGTTGTGTATGGGCTACACATTTAATTTTAGCACTATTCAGGAGCCAAATCTGGAATACTCCCTAGCGCAAGTGGCTGCCTTTGTTCCGATAATACTATCTAATGTAGCTTGCTTCAAAGACCTTCGCACATTTTCTTCTGGTGAGGTAACGCAGGTCTTCTAAAGTCTGTGGAAATGGATGGAGAAGAAGACTGACTGTGGTTGACTTTGTGGTGCTGGGATGGGGTCAGGGGTGAAATCCAGCAGGTTCTAACAGGTTCTGGAGAACCGGTAGCGGAAATTTTGAGTAGTTCGGAGAACCGGCAAATGCCACCTCTGGCTGGCCCCAGAGTGGGGTGGGGTGGGAATGGAAATTTTGCAATATTCTTCCCCTGCCACGCCCGCCAAGCCATGCCCGCAGAACCGGTAGGGAAAAATTTTGGATTTCACCCTTGGATGGGGTCCCTACTACTGTTAACTATCTTTGCACAGTAGTTAGCAGTCATGGTGGTGTGGATAACCCTTCTATCAGTTGGCATTCTACAGGGAGGGAACTGGGAATGAAATAAGAGCATTCCAAGTCTCTACACAAAGATGTAGTCAGGTATGTCTGGCATGACAACCTTCCTTATCTGCTTGATTGCATTTGGCTTTGAAATTAGAATCAGAATAGAGCTGGAAGGGACCTTGGAGGTCTTCTAGTCCAGCCTCCTGCTCAAGCAAGAGATCCTATACCAGGGGTCAGCAACCTGCGGCTCTGGAGCTGCATGTGGCTCTTTCACCCCTCTGCTGCAGCTCCCCGTCCCTCAAAATATGCATCACAACCGCCAATGTGCGACACTCGCCGGCATGTGATTTATTGAGCTTTTCAACCCCCGGCAGGCCAACCATGAACCAAGAAAAGAAAAGTTTCAGAAGAAAACAGAACATTTAATTCAACTACATATGCTAGTTTTGTGGCCACTCAAGAAATAGTCAGGCACCGGAAGGGTTTTGTGGCTCCCAGTGTTTTCTTTTCTGTGGGAAACGGGTCCAAATGGCTCTTTGAGTGTTTAAGGTTGCAGATCCCTGTCCTATATCATTTCAGACAAGTGACTGTCCAGTCTCTTCTTTAAAAACCTCCAACCTTTGAAGGCAAAGCTATCCTACTGGTTAATTGTCCTCACTGTTAGGAAGTTTCTCCTTCATTTCAGGTTGCTTCTCTCCTTGATTAGTTCCCATCCATTGTTTCTTGTCCTGCCCTCAGGGGCTTTGGAAAATAATTTTTTTTTTTAATTTGATTTATATGCCGCCCTTCTCCGGAGACTCAGGGCGGCTTACAATGCGCTAAGCAATAGCCTTCATCCTTTTGTATATTTATACAAAGTCAGCTTATTGCCCCCACAAACTGGGTCCTCATTTAACCTACCTTAGAAAGGATGGAAGGCTGAGTCAACCTTGAGCCTGGTAAGATTCGAACCTGCAGAAATTGCAGGCAGCTGTGTTAATAACAGGGTGCATTAAACCACTGTTCTACCAAGGCTTGACCTCCTCTTCTTTTTGGCAGCCCCTCAAATATTGGAATATTGCTATCATGTCTCCTCTTGTCCTTTTTTTCTCTAGACTAGCCAGACCCAAATCCTCCAACCGTTTTTAATATGTTTTAGCCTCCAGGCCTTTAATCATCTTAATTGCTCTTCTTTGCAATTAATGTTAAAATCCTGTAAAGATCGATGGTTAGGAGTTGTACGGAATTCTCAAGATTTTTCCCTTTGGCTAGTCTTAATAAATTATCGATAATAAGCCAGATATCTTTAGTACCTCTCTTTCTCAGATACATGCATTTAAAAATGTTTAACAGCTTTTAAAACAGTATTGATGAGGATTCTCACTTCTGGTTTGTGATAAAAGTTGAGAAGAGATTTCTTTCCGTCTTTAGTTTCGTGTCCACCCAAAAAAAAAAAAAACAACAACCCAACAACTATTCTACTCACAATAGAAAGCTTGCATTCTGTTCCGCAGGACAGATTTTGGCTTATCAGGGGATTACGGGATTAAGGGTGAAGTGGTTCTGTGAGGAACATTTAGACTTGATAGAACTTGACCATCTCTGTTGATGTGCCTACATAACAGTTATAAGGATGGAGAAAATCCAGGGATATTAGATATGCAGGTTGGCCTCTTGAGACTTGCAGAGTTTTGTAGAGTTTTGTAAAAACATATTTCTAGCTTCCGTGGCTGGTTGAGAGAGATTTATTTGAAAGATTGCTGACAAGGCTTACTGAAATCTTCACAGCCAGTTGGTCAGATTGCATTCCTGTGGTTATGGGAGGGTGAGATATTTTACCCCCTATCCCTTTTAACGGTCCCGTTTTCCTTCCTTCCTTCCGGTGTGGTTATTTATCTAACTTCGCCCATCGTTTGTTTAGGCTGCCAAATCTTGCCTTTTCTTGATGCAGAATTTGGATTGCTTGGTTAAACTCAGCCTTAAGTATCTTTCATTTTTTAATTAGGATCTAAGACAGGGATGGCAAACTTAGGGCTTACCTGTCAAAGGTGACATATCATGACATTTTGGGTGACACTCCAGCATTCATCAACACCCGAAGCCAAGTGCTTGTAGTTCAGGTGGCCTAGATATGGGGGAGATAGAGAATTGTTTCTCTTTTGTCCATGTGTGTGTGTATGTGTGAGTGAGTGAGTGAGAGAGAGAGAGACACAGAGACACAGAGAGAGACACACACACAGAAAGACACAGAGAAAGAGAGAGAGAGAGAGAGAGAGAGAGAGAGAGGCAGACAGAGACAGAGAGAGAGAGAGAGAGAGAGAGAGAAAGAGAGACACAGAGAGACAGAAACAGAGAGAGACACACACAGAGAGAGACAGAGATAGAGACAGAGACAGAGACAGAAACACACACAGAGAGAGACAGAGATAGAGACAGAGACAGAGACAGAAACACACACAGAGAGAGAAAGAGAGACACAGAGACAGAGAGACAGAGACAGAGAGAGAGACAGAGACAGAGAGAGACAGAGACAGAGACAGAAACACAGAGAGAAAGAGAGAGAAAGAGACACAGAGACAGAGAGAGACAGAGACAAACACAGAGAGAAAGAGAAAGAGAGAGACACAGAGAGAGAGAGACAGAGAGAGAGAGACACACAGAGAGACACACACAGAGAGAGAAAGAGAGACAGAGACAAAGACAGAGAGACAGAGACAAACACAGAGAGAGAGAGAGACAGAGACAGAGACAGAGACAGAGAGAGACACACACAGAGAGAGACAGATAGAGAGACAGAGACAGAAACACGGAGAGAGAGAGAGAGAAAGAGAGAGAGACAGAGATAGAGAGAGACACACACACAGAGAGACAGAGACAGAAACACAGAGAGAAAGAGAAAGAGAGAGACACACAGAGAGAGAGACAGAGATAGAGATAGAGAGAGACACAGAGAGACACATACACAGAGAGAAAGAGAGACACAGAAACACAGAGAGAGACAGAGAAAGAGAATGCTGAACCAAGCCCTAAAGGTTCACTATCGTTGCTCTAGGTCCTACCTAGGACATTTTGGGTTGTGAGATTATTGTATATTTTAGCCTCATGCCTATATTACTAGAATTTATCACCATTTGTTTTAGCATCCCTCCTAAAAAGACAAACAGCTTGGTCCCTGGAGGTTGAATAATGAAAGTTTGCAAAACTGAATACCTGTAATTGGGGAGCTTCTATGCTGTAGCAAATTGAGCAACTGTGAGTTCCAAGTCCTGCTTTAGGCATGACAGCCAGCCTAATCCACCTCACAGGGTTGTTGTTGTTGTTGTGGGGAAAAGAGGAGGGAGAAAGAGAGTTAGGTTTGTTCACTGCCTTGAGTTATTTGTAGAATAACAAAGGTGATATATATATGGAGAGATATATGGAGAGAGATGGAAGATGAGGGTTGGGGGATGGAGGATGGATGGAGTCGATAGGATAAAGTTGATAGGATAGATGGATGGATAGATAGATGGACAGACAGACAGACAGATATCGGTAGGTAGATACCGGTAGGTAGGTAGGTAGGTAGATTGAAAGAAGATAGATAGATAGATAGATAGATAGATAGATAGATAGATAGATAGATAGATAGATACCGGTAGGTAGGTAGGTAGGTAGGTAGGTAGGTAAGTAGGTAGATTGAAAGAAGATAGATAGATAGATAGATAGATAGATAGATAGATAGATAGAGGTAGGTAAGATAGATAGATAGATAGATAGATAGATAGATAGATAGATAGATAGAGGTAGGTAGGTAAGATAGATGATAGATAGATAGATAGATAGATAGATGATAGATAGATAGATAGATAGATAGATAGATAGATAGATAGATAGATAGAGGTAGGTAAGATAGATAGATAGATAGATAGATAGATAGATAGATAGATAGATAGATAGATAGATGTAGGTAAGATAGATAGATAGATAGAGGTAGGTAGGTAGGTAAGATAGATGATAGATAGATAGATAGATAGATAGATATACACACAGGCACACACACATATAATATCAGTTTAGTTCTATCTGTTATAAAAAGTTATATTTGCAAGATATTTTGTGATTGATAGTGGCAGTCACCTTTGTTAGCCATCTTAGTGGCCTTTTCTACGTAATGTCATCCTACTGTCTCTTTTCCACTACATCAGATGCCAGAACAAAGGAGCTTCACCCATTCCAGAGAGTCTCCTGTGACGGTGCTGCCTCCCTTAAACGGCTCTCCATCTCCTGGTAAATACTCCTTCTCCAACCCTTGGGAGATCAGGAAGGACCAAGAAAGAAGTCCATCTTCCTATAACCGCAGTTACAGGTAACTTTGGCCACTTGGTGGACTTCATGACTGGCTGGAGAATTCTGGGAGTTGAAGTCCACCAGTCTTTTTTTTTTTTTGAAATTTTTTTTTATTTTATGTTTATAACATAAAACATAACTTTTTAGAGCAAAAGTTTGATCCGGTATAAAATAAATACAGATTCCAAATTTCATCCATTACATCTTAAAGAAGGAAAAAAGAAGAAAAAATAAATAAAAAGGAAAAAAAAGTTCTAAACCCAATTTTTCCATTCAATCTAACATCTTCTTCTAACATTTAACATTCTATTAAATATCACCCTAAATCTTAAATTCCAAATCTAAACAGCTTTTTATAATATTCATTTGTCATTTTAACAATCAGTATTTCATATATTTCCCTTACTTCAAAGACCCAAATTCAATCAGTATTTCTTCAAAATTGCATCTAAAAATCAACACAAAGTATTTTACTCCTCTCTTACAAACATTTCAAAATCAATTCACTTTAAAATTTACTTCTAAGATATCTCCTTCATTCCTCCTAGGTTTATTTTTAACTGGATTACATCTTGGTTAGCTGATTTCCTGGGATGCTTGCCTCCACTCCTAACCTTATTTAATGGCTGGATCACAGTTTAGTTTTAACTGCTCTCCAACATTTTCTCCTCCGCTCCTCCTAGTCTTAAAGTTGCCAAGTTTGGACACTTTCAACCCAGGAGATCCTTGTTCAAAATATAGTATGCTATGGCTTGTTTTCTCCGAGCAAGTTTTTTCCTCTCTTGCCGTATAAGAAATTATGCTGGCTTAGCATTGAATGGCCATAACAATTACTTAAGATATGTCTGGGATTGACATTTAGATTCTACCCTGTTTCCCTCAAAATAAGACATCTCTTGATAATAAGCCCAATCGGGCTTTTGAACGCATGGCAATAAGGCCAAGCGCTTATTTCAGGGTTCAAAAAAATATAAGACAAGGTCTTATTTTCGGGGAAACACGGTATCTGTAGATCAGTGGTGAAATATAAAATTTGTTACTACCAGTTCTGTGGGCGTGGCTTGGTGGTGGTGGTGGTAATGTGATTGAGTGGGCATGGCCAACTTTTTTTTTTTTACTTTTAAAAGCATTTTTTCTACAACCTCTTCGGCCGAAGAGATTGTAAAAAAAATGCTTTTAAAAGGCTCTAACAATCCCAGCTGAGTTCCTTGATCGTCAGAGGCTTTTTTTTCTTTTAAAAGCACTTTTTCTACAACCTCTTCGGCCGAAGAGGTTGCAGAAAAAAATGCTTTTAAAAGACTCTGACGATCCCAGCTGAGTTCCTTGATCGTCAGAGGCTTTTTTTTCTTTTAAAAGCCTTTTTTCTACAACCTCTTCGGCCGAAGAGGTTGCAGAAAAAAATGCTTTGAAAAGCCTCTGACGATCCCAGCTGAGCCGCGCGATCATCAGAGGCTTTTTTTAAAAAAACTTTTAAAAGCATTTTTCGGCCGAAGAGGTTGTAGAAAAAATGCTTTTAAAAGTATATATATATAAAAAAGCCTCTGATGATCGCGCATCTTAGCTGGGCATGGGGGGGTGGGGGCGCAGGGATTTTTGCTACCGGTTCTCCGAACCAACCGCCGCCATCACTACCGGATCGGGTGATCCGGTCCGAACCGGGAGCACTTCACCCCTTCTGTAGATGTTCCAACACTTTGTACTTTGTAGCAGTGAGGCTTTAAAAAAAAAAAAGAAGACTTAAATTGCCTTTCCAAGTTTCCGTGGAGGAGTGGGAGAAATATAAATGGATGAATTATTTTAACTAAATTTTTTCCCCCAACAGTATCTTTTTAATGGTGTGCCAGAGGAGAGAATAAGTTCAGGGAGGTGGAGGGAAACAAAAGTGGAAGATCTTCCCGTTTACCAGCTTTCAAATTAGTACTGAAGTCAGAGCAAGTTGTGAGGAGATGCAGTTGGGGATCAGTTGCATCTGGGTCTGATTTAGCTCCTTGGAGTCAAACCACTGATTTATTTAGTTTGATTGTCTGGTCTGATTGTAGTCAGCCTTCTAAAGTCTTAGGGAGAATCTCATCGTTCTGATGGTTAGTGGCAGGAATTCTGGCTCCGTTACTAACTCTGGACCTCAAAAGCAACCAGGAGTGAAGGTGTGTACACAGAGAGAGGGGGGGAGGGTAGAGAGAGAGGAGGGAGAGTGAAGGGGGGGAGAGAGAGGCGGGAGGGGGAGAGAGAGAGAGAGAGAGAGAAGAGAGGGAAAGAGGAGGGGAGGGGGAGATAGAGAGAAGAGAGGAAGGGAAGGAGGGAGGGAGAGACGAGAGGAGGGAGGGAGAGAGAGAGGAGAGGACGGGAAGGAGGGAGGGAGAGAGGAGAGGAGAGGAGGAAGGGAGAGAGAGAAGAGAGGAAGGGAAGGAGGGAGGGAGAGAGGAGAGGAGGGAGAGAGAGAGAAGAGGAAGGAGTGAAGAGAGAAGAGAGAAAGCAGTGAGGGAGGGAGGGAGGGAAGGAGGGGGAGAGGGGGAGGAGGGAGGGAGAGAGCAAAGGGGGAGAGAGGGAGTGAAGAGAGAAGAGGGGGAGGGGGAGGGGGAGAGAGAAGAGGGAAAGGAGGGAGGGAGTGAAGAGAGAAGAGAGAAAGCAGTGAGAGGGAGGGAGAGAAGGGAGGGAGGAGGAGAGGAGGGAGGGAGGGAGAGAGAGAGGAGAGGGAGGGAAGAAGGGGAGAGGAGAGGGAGAGGAGGGAGGGAGAGAGAGGAGAGGGGGAGAGGAGAGAGGGAGTGAAGAGAGAAGAGAGGGAGGGGGAGAGAGAGAAGAGGGAAAGAGGAGGGAGGGAGTGAAGAGAAGAGAGAAAGCAGTGAGAGGGAGGGAGAGAAGAGAGGGAGGGAGGGAGACAGAGAGGAGAGGGGTAGAGGAGAGAGGGAGTGAAGAGAGAAGAGAAGGGAGGGAGGAGAGAGAGAAGAGGGAGAGAAAGAGGAGGAAAGCATTTTGATCACCTGACTACTAGAATGCTGCGATGGTAGTGTGTGTGTGTGTATGTGTGAAGACTAGTTGTGAGTCACGTTTTCCAGTGCTGTTGTAACTTCCAACAGTCGCTAAGCAAATGCTTGTAAGTTGAGGAACTATCTGTATATATATATATATGTAAACGGGTACTGTATTACTTTCTTCCTGGTGCTGGAAAGCCAGGATTCTTTGAAAGAAAAGGAATTGCTTCACGGGGGGTTCAGAAAATAATCGATTTGTAACAGCCCTTCTAGGAATGATGCTAAGTGGTCAACCGGAAATCTAGAAAATTGCCTTGAGGATGCCGAAGCCACCAGAGGCTATTTTTAGGCCTTTTGGTATCAGGAAAATGCAGCCGTCATACCAGGAAGGTGAAAACACCTGTCCCCAGGCAAAGTCCACAAAGGAATGCAGGCATGGCCCCTGACCTCCCAAATTCGGTCCCTCCCATCTTCATTTCCTTGTCCCTTGGCAACAAGGTAGACCTGACTTAGAACTTAGAATAACTTTGTCACTTTAAATGTACACTAATCGGCATACATTAAAATGAAATTTCGTGGCATACAGCTCTCAAAACGGTCTCCGATGTACCACACAAAAATATAGTTTATATATTACAATATTGTGTAATATTTATTACAAAATAAATTTTTTATTTATTTTATTTAGATTTATATGCCGCCCTTCTCCGGAGACTCAGGGCGGCTTACAATGCGCTAAGCAATAGCCTTCATTCTTTTGTATATTTATACAAAGTCAGCTTATTGCCCCCACAAACTGGGTCCTCAATTTACCTACCTTAGAAAGGATGGAAGGCTGAGTCAACCTTGAGCCTGGCGAGATTCGAACCTGCAATAATTGCAGGCAGCTGGTCTTAATAACAGCTTAATAACAGGATGCCTTAGACCACTGTACTACCAAGGCTCTTTCCCCGTTTATTAGCCAGTAGATTGAAGAGACTATGTTAGCCAGAAGTAGCTCAATCCAAGTAGCTCTATTTTGATCCGAATTATCCAATAAATGAGTGGTGCAGTGGCTTAGAGGTGGAGCTCTCACCTCACAATCGGGAGGCTGTGAGTTCAATTCCAGGTAGCGCCACATGTTTCTCTCTCTGGGCACAATGAGTAAATATCAGCTGCGAACTCTGCATTGGCAACAGGAAGGGCATCCGGCCAGTAAACCCTCAGCCTCCATTCAGTTGCCCTGACTCCACCCTGATGCAAGGGATTATGGGGTCATTAAAAGAGAATAATAATAATAATAATAATAATAATAATAATAATAATAATAATAATAATAATAAATGACTTCAGGATTCAGACTGACAGGTACTTGGTCCACAACACATCTGACATAACAATAGTTGAAAAGAAAAAAGTATGGTTCATTGACATTGCAATACCTGGTGATGCACGGATTGAAGATAAGCAGCAAGAAAAAATCACAAAGTACCGGGACTTACAAATTGAAGTTGAGCAACTGTGGAAAAAGAAATCGTGTGTTGTCCCGATTGTAATTGGAGCCCTTGGAGCAATACCCAAAGGGTTACCCCGCTATTTAGAAATTCTAAATTTGCCGGACTTGAACATTTTGACTCTACAAAAAACCACCTTACTCGGAACAGCTTACATCCTCCGACGATACCTTAACAGTTCCTAGGTCCTTGGTTAGGACTCGAGCTGCTGAGCTATTAACCAGCCTCAAAGGCTGTGAATCTCACTAAAGATTAAATAATAATAATAATAATAACAACAACAACAACAAAATAAATAAATAATGCACATACCCACAAACACCACAGTCTAGTTTGGATGTATACATGTACATGGCGAGAAAAATGAATCTTGTGAGTTTACCAGATGGATGGCCTAGGGCAAGGGTCAGCAACCCGCAGCTCCGGAGCTGCATGTGACTCTTTCATCCCTCTGCTGCAGTTCCCTGTCGCCAATCAGCTTCACACTTGATAGGGCTTTTGGTTCGGACAGGTAGAGGAAAAAGGACGCCGTGCTAGGAGGAGACTCTATGGTGGGG